CTTGTCGGCACGAGATTCTGAATTCGTTGCTAAGAAACGGGTCTCTCTTATTGGGCACCACCACCGTCTGTCACTAGACCCTGCCTCCTTAGAGGGCTGCAAAACCCAGAGCATCTGAAAACACTGAAGTAGAAGCAAGGCTTGCCTAAGGTGAGTGGTCTGCGTGCCATGAAAATGGCTGGCAAGGCCCGATAAGCTCTAGTTCCAGCTGCAAAGTTGACCCTCTGCCTCATAACTCTGTCAGGATGGTCATGTCAACCTCCAGGTGGAGTCTGGAGATCTCCTGATAGTACATTTGATCTTCAGACCCCTCCTGCACATCTGTATAGTGTAGAGTATAGGGATCAGTTTCCCTGGAAAAACATGGAGGCTGGATTCTGTGGCATTGTATCCTGCTGAGGGCCCTGTCCCCAAATCTCCAGGTCTTCACCAGCCCAGAGCTGGCGACCCTAATTGCAATTCCCAGTCCTGCCACTTAAGTTAGCTGCTGGTTGGAATGGGGGGGCGGGGGGGAATTTTGGGCAAGTGGCTGAGTTATCTCAAGCCTCTCACTTATGTGCTTTTTATTAATACGGCAAAATTCTCTCTAGCAGTGCATCTTCCTGATGGGGAAAAGCAAACTTGTCTATTTCTATGAAGGAAGGAAGGCTTCTCATTGTTTAAGCATTTTAAGAACATAAGAACATAAGAGACGCCAATGTTGGATCAGGCCAAAGGCCCATCCAGTCCAACACTCTGTGTCACACAGTGGCCAGAAATACCAGTGCCATCAGGAGGTCCAGCAGTGGGGCCAGGACATTAGAAGCCCTCCCACTGTTGACCCCCCCCCCAAGCACCAAGAAGACAGAGCATCACTTGCCCCAGAGCCCCTAGCTATACCTTGTGGCTAATAGCCACTGATGGACCTCTGCTCCATATGCTTATCTAATTCCCTTTTGAAGCCGTCCATGCTTGTAGCACCCACCACTTCCTGTGGCAGTGAATTCCATGTGTTAATCACTCTTTGGGTGAAGAAGTACTTCCTTTTATCCGTTCTAACCCGACCGCTCTGCAGTTTCATGGAGTGCCCACGAGTTCTTGTATTGTGAGAAAGGGAGAAAAGTACCTCTTTCTTTACCTGCTCTTTCCCATGCATAATCTTATAAACCTCGATCATGTCACCCCTCAGTCGTCTTTTCTCCAAGCTAAAGAGCCCTAAGCGCTTTAACCTTTCCTCATAGGGAAAGTGTTCCAACCCTTTTATCATTCGAGTTGCCCTTTTCTGCACTTTTTCCAAAGCTATAATATCCTTTTTAAGGTGTGGTGCCCAGAACTGCACACAGTATTCCAAATGAGGTCTCACCATTGATTTATATAGGGGCATTATTATATTGGCTGATCTGTTTTCAATACCCTTCCTAATAATCCCCAGCATAGCATTGGCCTTCTTTATTGCAGTCACACACTGTCTCGACATTTTCAGTGAGTTATCCACTACAACTCCAAGATCTCTCTCTTGCTCAGTCTCTGCCAGTTCAGACCCCATCAATGTGTATTTATATTTAGGATTTTTGGCTCCAATGTGCATCACCTTGCACTTGGCCACATTGAACCCCATTTGCCATGTTGATGCCCACTCGCCCATCTTTGACAGATCCCTTTGGAGTGCCTCACAATCCTCACTGGTTTTCACCACCTTGAACAACTTTGTATCATCCGCAAATTTAGCCACTTCACTGCTTACTCCCATCTCCAAATCATTAATGAACAAGTTAAAAAGCAGTGGACCAAGTACTGATCCCTGTGGTACCCCACTGCTTACCACCCTCCACTGAGAAAATTTCCCACCTACACTCACTCTCTGTTTTCTATGAACTAGCCAGTTTTTGATCCATAAAAGGACTTGTCCTTCTATCCCATGATTTTTGAGCTTACTTAGGAGCCTTTGATGAGGAACTTTATCAAAAGCTTTCTGGAAGTCAAGGTAAATAATATCTATTGGATCCCCCTTGTCCACATGTTTTAGTTGCTGCAGTTAAATAAAAAGTGGAAACCTGCTTAGGAAAAATACCTGCTGATGGGAGAACTTTCCTGCCCCCCACTTTGCGATTGACTTGAGGGTTTTTTCCTTTTTTTAAAAAAAAAAACAACAAATATTTTATTTATAACTTTGCAAAGATCAATACAAATATAACTGAGTGAGAACAATAATACAGCAACAATTGGCGATTTTCCTTGAGCATTCTTGTTAAGTGCACAACTCTGATATGAACTGATAACTCAACTGGTTACTGAACATTACTGATAACACTCTCAACTGGCTGCTGAACATTACTGAGTGTGGTGAAACCAGGTTACAGATGGCCATCCCTTTAGAAAAGCACACACACACCCCTTCCCTGTGGACTCTAACAAGGGCTGGGTAAGGCATGTCTGGTACCCTGTATCCTCTTAGAAGGACCTTGGGAGGGAGAGCAAATCTGACACCACCTAAGACCTTTCCTAGTCACAGAAGGGGGGGAAATGGAGGGTGGCTTTCTAGGACTTTTCTTTCTGTGCACATCTGTGCATTCCCCCCACCCCACCCCCCATAGCTAGAAATCCAAAACAGTCCAGTGGCACCTTTAAGGCCAGGGTTTATTCAGGTACAAGCTCTCCTTCCTGTCAGAACCCACAGCCAACAACAAAGTACACGCATTCAGGAACGGTTATACTTTTATTGCAGAGCTACAGATGCAGTAACATAGGCACTGTTAAGAATGGCGGCGGCCCCTTGGGTATAATAGGATATAGGGTATTCGTATGCACACACACCCCCACAGTACTGGCCAATTAGGCAGCCTCCCACGCGCAGGCTAAGGCTTAGAGACCGTTAGGTAGCTGAAGCTGGGAACTAACACTCTCCCACAGCACCTAGGGAAATCCCAGACACTACAACACCCTCCTGCACATCTGTATAGATAAGCGTTTTGGCGCACAGCAGAGACAGCACAGAAAAGAATGCCGTAGCAATTAACCTGAAAGGAAAGCAATAGCAATTACCCAGACACAGACCAACCTCCCCAACCTTCATGGCAGCATAGCTGACACTTCCTCTGCGAGGACAGATATGCACATCCCCCCCCCCCAATAGCTAGCCATCCAAAACAGTACAGTGGAGCCTGAGCGGTGGGTGTTGCCTTCTGACATACTTCCGGTGATGTCAGGGGGTGTGGCCTATGCAAACCAGTTATGCGAATGAGCTCCTGCACCTCTTTTTCTACGAAATGACCCGATTCTAGCACTGGATTACTTTGCACTAGCAAAAACAAAAACACCCATATCAGTTTAGTTATGCTAAATTTTCCTTCTAGAAATCAGAGTCTGTTTTCAGTATCTGCAGCTATCATACCACCTAAGAATGAAAACCTTTCACGTTTGCATTTTCATAATATTGAACGTTTCAGCAACACTTTGTTCTACGTATCAGACTCACTTTTATATATAAGTGCAGAAGTCTAAATGTAGCAGCATTTTATGTAGGATGCTGATGACACTCAGCTCTGTCTATTAATGGGACGGTCATCCGTCCTCCGTTCCTGGAAATCTGGCTGAGGCTTTGGACGCTGGATGGTTGCGGCAAAGTCAACTGAAGTTAAATCTATCAAAGACGGAGGTCCTGTACCTGGGTCATGGGGGGATGGAGGTGAACACTAGGTTTCCCACACTGGAAGGGGCACCTTTGGTGCCGGCCCACTCCGTCAAGAGCCTGGGAGTAACACTGGATGCCTCCTTATCTACGGAGGGCCAAGGTTGCTGCAGTCGCCGGATCTGCGTTCTTCCATCTCAGGCAGATCAGGCTACTGAAGCCCTGTGTCTCCCCCCAGGACTTAGCTACGGTGACCCATGCAATGGTCACTTCCAGGCTTGATTACTGCAACTCGCTCTACGCAGGCTTACCCCTGAAGCTGATCCAGAAATCACAGCTGGTACAAAATGTGGCGGCGCACCTGCTGACATCAACGCCTCTGCGGGCTCACATTCGGCACGTGCTTTGTCAGATGCACTGGTTGCCAGGTGAGTACCGGATCCGCTTCAAGGTGTGGGCAATCACCTTCAAAGCCTTACACGGCCTGGGGCCAACATAGCTAAGGGACTGCGCCTCTTCCCGTAGACGCCTCAAAGAGTGTCACGCTCTGACAGTCGACATCTCCCGGCGATCCCTGGCCCAAAGGACGCCCGCCTGGGCTCGGCCAGGGCCGGGGCTTCCTGGTGGAACAGGCTCCCTGTGGAGACCAGGCCCCCCCCCCCCGCATAGGGATCTCACTCAGCTCCGCAGGGCCTGCAAGACGGAGCTCTTCCGCCAGGCCTTTGGCTGAGGCAGCAGGAGTCCACACAGGGCCCCCCCCCCAAGGTTGCGGTCTCCCACCCACTGATAACTGGCCATGTCTATCTGCATCAACAGGCCAGATTCTTCCTACAGCAAGCTTTAATTATTGATTTTATATATTCATAATGTGTTTTGAATTTTATTGTATTTACTGAAACGTTGTAACCTGCCCCGAGCCCGTCTATGGGATGGGCGGGATATAAATGCGAAAAATAAATACATAAATATGATCATTTATATTCTGGCTTTTTTGGTGAAGCTGACTTTCTCAACATACACCCAAAGAAAGTCATTTCTGGAACAATGTTTTTTCAGTCCTGGGGTGCCCAGATGTTTCTCACAACTGCCACTTTCCAGGGCCCCCCCCAGGGCTGCTCTGAGCCCGGAGGCATTGGAGACAAGTGGTTTGACCCGTGCAGTGCTGGCAAAGTATCAACAGACAAAGTCCAACAGACCACGGTGAGTCGAACGGGTATGAAGCAGCAGAAACCACAAGCATCCCCCTTCCCATCTTTTGCAGCATGAGACACTCTGCTCCAGAGGAACAACAACAACACTTCATCTCCCCCAACCACCTGGGAGAGCAAACAAACACGAGCAGCACTGGAGCCAGGCCAAGCCACAGGGTGGCCCTCTCCTGAGCGCCCGTTACCTTCTCACAGTCCTCCTCGGTGAACTTGGCGTCCTTCTGCATGATCTCTCGAAGGCGGGCCTTCACCCTGTGCTGGCAGCTGCTGAGAGAGTCGCTGTCGCTGTCGAGGAGACCGTTCATGTTGGCGCTCTTCACCATCTGCACCAGAATGGGCGTCAGCTCCCCCTCCAGGGCAAGCAGGCCCTGCAGAGCACGAAGCCAGGAGGAGGGAAGGTGAACAAGCATCAGCAACGTCGGTTACGGGCCACAGGCTTCTCTGGACAGCAGCCTTCCGATGGGACGGGACAGGACAGAGCTCTTCCCCCACAGAGAGGGGAGAGCACACAGGCAGCCTCTCCCCCCACAAACTCGGCATGCTCCGCAGCCCCACCCCAACACCCCTGGAGAGAAGAGGGCTTTGGCACCTTGGCAAATGCTGCTGCCGTCATCTGGACTCTGCCCTCGTCGGAGGCATAGATCTTGAGGTCATGGCGGTAGGTGCTGTGTAGCCGAAGCAGGCCACACCCTGGAAAGCCGGCATAGTCCCCTAGTTGGGGGAGAAGAGCAGCTCCAGTCCAGCCAGCTGCTGCCCGCCGGGATCCGGGGGGAGGGAACCCCCCACCCGCCTCCACCCCAGACAGATCATCTTAACACCACTTAACAACCCAACTCTTCTACCTGTTCTCCCAAGCCCCCCCATGCGCTCCGTGACACGACAGAGCAATTCCATCCCCCAGCGATACCTGCAGGCAGGAAATGGGGTCACTCCTAAATCCCCCTGCACCAGCAGAGCCCACAGAGAATGAGAGCAGAGTGAATTCCTGCCAGCACATCAAAATCCATTGCAATGAGACAGGGCCAGGGAGCTGGGGGGGGGGGGGGGGGGGACAGTCATGGGAAGCAGAGTCTAAAAGAGAGATGCTTCCCCAAGGTGCATTCCCGCAAAAGTGCAACATGACGCCCAGAAAGAGTAAACACCGTGCGCCCCCCTCCCCCCCGAAGCCAAACGATCCCCCCCTCTGTCCCGCAGAATGGAGGACAGAACCTTGGCCCCATTGGATATGAAGCTCAGGCGGAGGACACAATTCTCAGCACTGTCTGGTCTCACTGTGCCCCGCTCCCTCCTGCCAGGTGGGACTTCCCCCCCCCCCCCGGGGGGGACTGGGGGGGGGGGGGGGAGCAATCTCTCGAGTGCAGCCTGCCTGCCTCCCACAGGCCTCATGGCAGCCCATGCGTGTGTGTGGCACGGCCAGATGCAGCTGCTTGACATGCCAGGCCTGGTCACAGGTCTGCCAAGGGCAGCACTTGGGGCCCACCCTGACTGGCAGCAGCTCTCCACAGAGCAGAGAGCCTTGAGCCGAGGAGCCCAGCCACCCTCTCCCGGCCACCAAGCCAAGGGGGTCCTCTTCTCCCCCAGGTTTCCCTGGCGGGATCCCCCACCCAGACCTTGATCAGCCCCAGATCTGTCCCACAGCAGGGGCCTTCAGACCCATGCCAGGAGCACAAAAAAAATGCAGGAGGAATGCAGAGCACTTTTCTTTCACGGAGCCAAATGGCTCTTGCCACCGGAACAGCTGTCTGACAATCCTTCCGTCCACCCTTCCTTCCCTGTTTGGTTCAGTGGTTTTTTCTTCTCCATCAAACGGGCTTTTGGATGCATCCCCACTCCTGCCCGGTCCTACTCTGCCCTTGCTAACGGCATTTGCCTAGAAAGCTGGGGGCTGTGCCTGCTGCTTGCCCTCCTGCTGCTCAGCCTGCTGCATCCAAACCTCTGTGAGCTCTGACCCCCCAAGCCCAGAGGGTGGTGGATCAACAGCTTCGCAGTATGGACCGGGCACTTGCTGCCGTACCGGCCCAGCCCGTTTGGATGGAATTCTGGGCGCGAATTGGCATTAGGGTTCACACACCCCAAGCTTTTTACAAGCTCAAGACGAAAAGGCATAGAATAGGCGACAGGTAATGTGTAGCCTTTCGTGGTGTCCAGTTTTGAGACTGGTGGATGGAGCAGAGTTGTCAAAGACACTGTGTGGGTCTGCCGACCCTGCTGCACTGCCTCTGTTCCCTAAAAACCTCCCTTGTTTTGATACCAAGAGTGCAGGGGTCGCGATCCTAACATCAGACGCAGAGGCAGGTACCTGGCCAGCTATAATACAAGAATCCAAAGTCATGTCAAGGCCAAGTATCCAGAGGGCCAGACAGAGGTAACTGTCTCACAGTGTGCAGCAGCAGTGTGGCCAGGGTCAGGAATCCCAGGGTAGGATGGGTGGGAAGACCTGTGACACTATAGTGCTTTTTGAAGCTTTGAAGGAGCCAGAGAGACACGGCATCTGCGAAGTTCCCTGCTGCCATACTGCGTGACTACAAAGGGACAGCCCATCCGACAGCAGAGGCCCCCAGCCCCAGCCAGCAACATCACGGCCTCACCTTGACCCCCAGGGTACATGCAGCGGAAGGCCCGGCCCAGCTCTTCTGCCTGGACTCTCCCTGCGGGGGTAAGCTCACCCCCCCACTTCAGCACCAGGAGCAAAGATGGAGAGGCCGCCTTACGGGCATCTAAAGGAAAAGAGGAAGAACAACGCCCCCCCAAACAGCAAAAAAGGCTGAGGGTCTCGTAGCATTCATTTCATCCTTCCCTACCCAGCAAGCCAGAGTGAGGTGCAGCTGGCAAACCAAGGGGGGAGGGGGGGGGATGGCAATCTGTCCATTTTGGGGGGCTACGAAATGGGCTGAGGAACCCACTGGAGTTCTTCCTACATTCCACATGCAATGTCTGACTAGCAGGAATTTGTCCTAAGCATTCCTGTTCACAGGGATGAGTCCATCAGTGGCCTTCTGACCATGGGGGCAAGGTTTCTGTAGCTCTCCCCTCCCCCTGGAATCCTGTTCCCGGGGGTCCCCCTCTGCCCCAGGAGCAGGCAGCCACTTGCCTTCGTCTTCACTGGAAGCTTTGGGGTGCCCGTAAGGAAAGTAGGTCAGCTGCACTTTGCGGTTAATACCAGAGAAGTGTCCATACCTACCGTGAGGAAAGAGAAGCTGATGGCACCCGAGGACAACTTCTCTCTGCAGGGCAGGCTAGAGCCAGGACCCAAAGCCAGGGCAGCACCTAGAGCTGGGACACCAGCACTGCCAGGCCACACACTGCTCTGGGCCAAGGGGGACTGCTGAGCTCTTGGGCAAAGGCACCGAGGGGGGAGGGGCTGCCAGAGGGGCCAGGACAGCGAGTGCCCCTGGCTGGGGTGAAGCGGGAGTGGGGTGAGCACGTGTGGCTGCCCGGCCTTGGGGGGGGGGGGAGGCGATGCGAGGCGAGAGCAGCCACCCTACCCAACACCCTTCCTTACATCTCCAGGACAGTTTTGAGCTGTTCCAGTTTGGACTTCTGCTCCTCAGCCTCGGAGTCCTCATGAGCTCCCTGCTCCAGCACCAGCAGGCGGGTGATGTCCAGCACCTCCTGCCGGGGACAAAGACCAGCAGGCAGTGGACAACTACGGCCAGGCCGGGCCCCAGCCCCCGCCACTCCTCTGGCCCAGGAAGCCACCCAGGGGCACACTCCGGCCAGTAGCGGTGGCACCACCACCCAAAGACCGCTCACGCCAGTCACCTTATGGCAGGCCAGCCACGTCCCTGAGCTCTCTCGTCCTCCCGCCACCCAGCCAGACACACGTCCCACGGGCAGAGGCAGAGGCCTCCAAACCCTCAGCCACATCACTCCTCACCTGCAGCTGTTCTGGCTTCTTCAGCTTCAGCTTCCCTGTCTTGTAACCCTCATACTTCTCAAATAATTCGAAGAACCTGGTGGATAGTAGCAGCAGCAGCAGTTGTGGGCTCAAGACCTCCTTCCCACACTGGCCAAGATCCGATTCATTTCCTGAGCCAGCCCCACTTCTTTTATGCCCCTGGAGCCAGAGGGTGAGGGCAGCACGGGACACATTCACGGGCCTGCTCCCTCTAAGCTGTGGAGTCTTGTGAGCAAAAATCCTACTGGGCGAGCAATTTGGCTACTGCATAAACTAGTTTGCTTGGGAGCCCTCCTTCCTGAGCTAAGGCAAAAAAATGTGTGAGCCAGAGGCTAAAGAACGGTGAGCCGGCTCACACTAACTCAGCTTAGAGGGAACACTGGCCTCAAGTACTGTACACATTAAGAGACCGTTCTTCCCACATCCATGACCCAAAACCAAGAGCACTCTAGCCGTGCCCCACCAGAACGCATTACCTGGAGTGTTTCACCTCCATCTTCATTTTCTGCTTGGGTGTGCGATCACCATGCCGTATCACCGCAATCACGCAACGCAACTCCATCCTGTGGGAAAGACAGGGGGAGTTTTGCCTCAGACCCCCTTCCCTCACTTGAGGGGGGGGCAGGAGAACCTGCCCATTTCCCCCTCAAGGGGTCGATGGTCAGTGAAGGCCAAGGGTCCTTCTCCCTAGCCAGGAGGGCATCTTTGCTGGTAAGGAGCTGCTGCAGCCCAGAGGTCAGGCTTATGATCGCAATAGAGAGGAACAAGGAAGACCCAAGGTTCCTCTGCAGGGTCTTCAAATACACACAACAAATGAAAATTACACAACATGGTGCCACAAAGGCACACAGCTCCAGCTGCCCAGGCAACACTGCACGGAGGAATCAGCACAAGACCCATGCGCACAGCCTGCAGTCTATGACTGGGAAGGAGGGGACACGTGAGCCCTGTTTCTCTCTGGTCCCAGGAGGTCAGGAAAACATTGCAGCTGCCCCCAAGTCTCCACGCAGTGATTCCGCTCCCCCCACACACGCACACTTTGGTCTGGTATCCCACAAGTAAAGCCTCCATATCGGAACAAGATGGATTTCTCAAGTGCTTGGCTCTGTTCCTGGGCCCATGAAACTGTTTGTGTCAACGCTGGTCATCCAACAAGGATGGGGTTAGGCTAGGCTATCTGTGCAGGTGCAAGACAGCAGCTGTAACTGCTAAGTGGTCGACAAAGTGCCTGGTTCCCAGGTGCACTTTCCAAGTGTGCTCATGGTGTCCCCGACAGGAATTTGAGAGACAAGAACTCACCTGTGGAGAAAATGGGGGCTTTGCAAGCGACTGGCCAGGCTGAGAGTGAAAAACCATGGAAGACTGAATACAACCAACAGCTTTGCCAGAGGCAACATGGAAAAGGCTTTCCAAGCCTGAGTACCTAAGAGCCTCGTAGGCATTCTGTGGGCATTCTCTGATACCCCAAGTTATGGTTTTTGGCAAACAGAAGAACAAGTGGCTGAAGAGCCAAAGGCCTCACAAATTAAGGACATCAGTACAGTAATCAGAACCCTACATGTTAGTGACACAGACAGATTTGGGGAGCAAGTAAATCCCTCTGCTGGCCATTCTTGAGTGTCAGCTCCTGGGAAGAAACCCCAAATACTCCTGAAATGTGGGAATTGATGCTGCGTGTTTCCCAGCTGTACATAACTGTCTTCTGTCCACCCAAGGGAACCTCTGACCCGTTTCCCAACACAGGCAGGCTTCACAGGACTACCTTTCCTTGATCCCAGCTGGCACATCCAGACTGAAAAGCCCCAGAAGGCACTGCTGAGTGCTGACCAAGCATGAAATGTCAAAGGCTTAGAGACACACTTGCAATTCTGACAAGCAAGACCACCCATCTCATGCCCAATAAGAAGAGCTGGGACTGGAGTATCACTTGGGGATACGGTAAAATATGTCATGGGAAAGGGACACTTGGTCCCATAGGTACCAAAGTAAACCATAGGCAAGGGGGAATGACATGCCCACATCTCTTTCTGCACCCTGTGGGGATGGGAACCATCCTGGTCACTCCCCTCCTGATTAAGTGGAAGGTATACAGACTTCATGTGAGAGCGAGTCTCTAGCATCTTGGAATCCACAGACATGTGGATGGTGCCCTGCTACCTTCAGGCCTCTAGAGGCCTATCTCTGGGACCTGGACTCCCTGGGGCCCATTCTTTTGTTAGCCTGAGCAATTTCACCTACATTTGTGGATTCTGATCTTTTACTTCTGTGGACTTTTGTTCTTCCTGCATGGAAGAAGCACACTTTTTAAAAAGGTTTTCTTTCTAAGGCCCAAGGAACTCTAGGGGTCTGGACAGGCATGTCGGGTAATTCCAGGGCCCACCAAGCTGCTGTGCTTTGCCCCCCTCCCTCCTATGACTTCCCAGAAGCCTGAGGGCTGAGAGGCCTACAAGCCTCTGAGAGAGTCCTGCCTCTTCAACTTCCCCAGATCCTTGGATAGGGAGCTATGAAAATGCATCAGCTTGCTTCCTAGGAAAGTGAGCTAAAACTAGGACAGAAGATGGTGGGGTCGCAACTAGTGGCTGATCATTTAGACTTAGGTTGGCTAGTACACATTAAGCTTGTACTCATGTTTGCAAGCTTTTGGTTTCAAGTATATTCACAATGCCTAGTGGTTTCTGATTCATCTCTTCACTGTGGAGTATATTCTCTACTCAGGACCGGTTTAGAACTATGCTGCAGACTCATGTTTTATTTGCTCATGCTTCTACGCTGCCTCTTTATGTATCCCACATTATTTGTTGTAGCCATACAGATCTTACTGATGGCTTTTAATCCATGTGTTTTCATATATATTCCTGTATCATGCCTCTGATTCAGTCTGCAGTGTACAGTCAGATTTAGTAATGCATTGTGCAGTAAATAAATAATTAAATTTATATCAGTAACACTTTGGCGTCTCCTACCATCAGTTGTGCACCCACCAGGGTGATAAAAATCCTTGGAACAAAGGCCTCCCCCACTTAAGGGGGCTGAATTAACAACCCTTCCCTTCACTCACAGAAAGTACCAAACCTCTCTGGACAGCAACTGCTGCCACCAGCAAGTCTGAGAGTACAGAAGACACTCTAGCACTCTGTATCTTTGCTGCTGTTTAGAGGTTCCACCTAGTTGTTGTATCTCCTGCTTTGCTCCTGGTTTACTCCTACTAGGTAGCATAGGGATGAATCTATCACACTTTCAAACGTTTAGGCTATTGGGTTCGAGGGATGGCAAGCTTTCTCGCCGCCATTCCCCTTCATTGCTTTTTAGGTGTGGCGTGTTTACAGGGATCAGACTTTGAGCATCCAAAACTTGAGGGAGTTTAACAAGCAATAAAAAAGGAGGCATGGTCTATACAAGCCCGAGGTAGGGTTATAAGGGTTATTTCGAAGCATGCCACTCAAGGTCTCCACCCACTTCAATCGGACTTTTAGTGTGGTCTGGGGACCCCTTTCCAAGTCTGAAAAGCACACCTTGGGTTTTGACTGGATTTATTTAGGCTCCTCTTTTCCCCCCATAAAGTGACCCGCTTAACTGGCTCTTGCAACAGCGACACTCACATCGTCCCTGAAGTCGTTGGCACAATGGGGATGTCCTCTGCCTCGGTGGGGATGGACCAGGGGATCTGGAACTGGGGAGCCAGTTCACGCATGATGATGTTCCTGTGAGGGAAAGGGGAGAGGAAGCAGCTTACCGGAGGGCCCCCCTCATCACCAAAGAATTAGCGGGGGGGGGGCGGAGATCTGCTTGAGGCCAGTTGGAAGAGAAGAGCAGCTCTGCTGGAGCGGAACGAGGTTTTTTTTCCTTCCTTCGCTGGAAGTGCCCAACCAGACACCCCTCCCCCCCGAAGGCCCACAGCCGGCACAGAAACCAAAGCCTTCTGCTGCTCAGGCCCTCCGTTTCACCCCAGCCCTTTCACCCCCAGGAGGGGTGCTTCAAGCGTTCTTCTCCTGGCATAGTTCGAGGGGTGGAACCAACACACACCCAAGGATCTTGGCGCAGTCGTCATAATACTTCATGGAGTTCTTCACAAAGCTGAAGCCATTAACGTCGCACACAAAGGAGTGGCCGTTGGCTCGCAGAAGGTCAAAACCACACACAGTCTGCTGCAGAGGACAAAACAGGACACAAAGCAATGAAAAGCAGGCGTCCCAAAGGGGGCGGGGAGAAGGAAATGCTGGCCCAGCAGCACCAGACCTGGGGCTCCTTTGTATCCCCATAACCCTCCAGCGCCTCAAGCCTGCAGTGCAGACTCGAGACTCGGAGGGCAGAAACGCCTCTATAGGCTTCCCACAACTGCCTCTGTTGGGGCAAAGGGTTGCAGACGCTCTCAGGGTAGGCACTGGGGCCCAGAAAAGGCTACCATTTATCCTGGCGACAGGTACAGCTGGGAGGGATACCTGGGCTGCCCAGCACTGGAATGCCAGTGTGAGTTCTGTTCATCTATCAGGGGGCTACGCGATCTGCTCTGATCTGCCTGAGAGCAGCCTAACAGGCGGTCTTGGGGAGCTGGACAGCCACCAACCTTGAAAGCCAGGCACACTTTCCTGGCCACCAGCTTCTCCATGGCTGAGAGCATGACTGGGTAGCGGATCTCTTTCCCTTCGCTGTCACGCTCAACCTTCCCATCCAGAGCAGGTGATTTCCGGGCTTCAGCATGGGCATAATCGGGGCCAACCGTGTACACCTGAGCAACAGAAACCAAAAACTGACACACCCACTCCTCTAAAGACATAAAAGCCCCAGAAATGTTGAAACCACCGGGGTGGGGGGAATGAAAAAAGATACTATATTTACTTTGGTAACAAGCCTAACTTCCTGACTGCTTTAAACAACATGAATTGCATAATTTCTATCTTAGTTAGCGTACAGAATTGTACTATTTGACACATTCATGGAATTTTAAAGTAGAGATGCCTGAAAGTCCCATCCTGCACCACTGCTTAGAAGGGTCTGAGCTATGCTGCTGTACCTCTTGAGATACGTATCCTTGGGACACGATGGGTGATTGGGGGGGGCGCTTAGCCACTCCAGCCCCAGATATGCCCCCACCAGTAGAAAACCCTGGTGTAACCCACAGAGGACACTGCAAAGCAAACAAAGCACTTTGCCTCTCACTCCTTCCGCCCCACCCCAAGCACCAGCGCCACTTAGGACACCAACTAAACCTGCAGCCAATCACAGCCCTCTCTGGCAGCCAGACACTGGCAGCTTCCACAGCGAGCAGCCGTCTCCCCCACCACCACCACCACGGCCGATAGAACACCCAGCCAGGAGACCTGCAGCTCAGGTGGTGGGACTCGTGCCACGGGGCCATAACTCTAAGACCACACTTAGAGCCTTCACCTTCGGCGAGCATTAACAGGCACTCTGCACACGCAGCCAAGGAAGAGAACAAGCACTCCGTCCTGCTGCACTTGCTGAACACTGCTCTGCTCAGAAGCGGTAGGGGCGCTCCGCCACAGGACATGGGTCTCGGACACGGGTGCAAGGACAACACAAGGCAAACAGGTCAGGGAGAGCAAGGAGTCCCAGCCCCTACTTCGCCCCCTATGAATGCAGCACAGAGGTCACCGGGGTGAATGGAATGAGCAGTGACTGAGCACCCAGAGTACAAAAGGGAGAAGATGCATGGGAGCTCTCTGGCCAGAATGATGAGAGGGGGACGTCTGGTCAGCACGGGATGACATCTGATGCCGCAAACCTTCGGTAACAATCTTGGGCTGCCCCAGAGCACTCTCCACATGGGAACTGAACCAGGGATCTTGGGTCTGCTGTGCCTGGGCACTCCTTCCCTCCCCTGCTCCATATGGCTGGCACCACCAGCAGGGACGCCTAATGCCCTAGACCGGTGGTGTCAGACACGCGGCGTGGAGGCCGGATCAGGCCCCCAGAGGGCTTCTGTCAGGCCCACAGTGGAACTGGCCATCTCCTGCTTCCAGTTCTGCTGCTGCTGCATCATAGCTTGCTTCGCCAGACAATCACTCAGCCATTTCATGTTTTAACCTGGGTCCTAGACTCTGAGCATGAGATTTCTGTAGTGGATGTCAATAAATCAAAAGGAGGTTTGCACAGATGCACAATTGAACAGCATACTCAAGATTGCAACAGCACAGACATTTTGATGCAACAATTCAGAACAAGAGGTGTCAGTTATCCAACACTGTTAAATAAACAAAATATTGCAAGAGTGCTAACGTTTTAAGCATGTTTTTATTTTAAGTAAAAAAAAAACCACCCTTTGTGTTTGTGTCCTTTATAAAGTTTATATCTCCGCTACCTGGCGTTACATTTTACGACACACACGGGGCCTGGGCCCAGGGGCCCAACAAGGTCCCATTGATGTCAGATCCGGCCCTTGTGACCAATGAGTTCGACACCCCTGCCCTAGACTGTTCCTCATTCCTGGGCACCCAAGCTGGGTGAGCGGAGAGAGGGGTTGAGGGGCCTTCACAGGCCTCTGCCTCTGGCTTGCTGCTGCTGCTGCTTGGCCAAAGGAGAGCTTTGTCTTCTGGACCCTATTCCCCTTACGGGCAAACCAAACCCGTGCATTTCAGACGCTGCCCAGGTGCCATTGCCGTTTTTGGGCTAACTTCTGCTGACAGTGCAGCTGCAACTACTGCTCCCTGTTGCCACCACAGGGTCCACAGTCCCCTTGCCTGGCTCCTGATCTCACATCCAAACCCTCAGTGGAACAGCCTTGGATGCCTGACTGCCCCATGGAATGACAGGGAAGCTGCAAGGGTGGTGGACCGATTAGAACAGGATGGTGGATTCAGCTGGATTCCAAGAGGGGGAGGGCGGAAGGGAGTAGGCTTTTGTACCCCACTTTTCTCCACCCTAAGGAGTCTCCAAGCGGCTTACAATCCACCTTCCCTTCCTCACAACAAGCACCTTGCAAGGTAGGTGGGGCTGAGAGTTCGGGGAGAACTGTGGCGCTGGCCCAAGGACACCCAGCAGGCTTTGTGTGGAGGAGGAGGACTGGGGAATCAAGCCTGGCTCTCCAAATTGGAGCCCGTCAACTCTTAACCACTACAGCCACGCCGGTCTCTGACTGGCAAAACACACTGAGGCAGCAAAAAGCGCCTTCTATCAGCTGGATCTTGTTCAGAGGCCGGCCCCCCTTCTCAGGCCCAGCAAATATGGCCAGTTTCAACCCAGAGACAGCTCCCATGTTGTTAAGATTCCACAAGCTGTACAAGGCAAAATTATTCAGGGGGCATTTTTACATCACATGTGTTTTAACATTATGATTTTAATAGTCTATTACCATAGTCAGTTTAACCTCCATTTAGTCCAGTTTTGGAAAGAGACAAGATAAAAATCCCCTAAACATACAAATGTTCATTCTGCACATGCCTCTGAAAGCGTTTTGATCCTTCCAAAAGATAAAATATTTCATAGTGGGGGGTCTTCCCCCCAGCATCCCCCAAATTTCCCAGTTTTTCCATTGTTGCTGCTTTTTCCACGCAGGTCTTCACATCACTGTTCTGGCACCACCTTAAAGACTAGCATGACCTTAAAGCTCCGACAGTCTTTTCGATTGTAAGACATGGAAAGAAAATTGCCACCTGAGGATTGCGATGGCCTGATGGAGTTTAAACCCAAAGTAATTATTGAACAAAACTCAAGAAGTCAAACCGTGTTCAAAACTCATGTTTTGTACATTTTTTAAAGTAGACACGTATACCTTCTGGCCATGGAGCTTTGGCCTAACTAAGGTTATTGACCCAACTATTGCAATGGCCCCTTATTTCTGGTCGTCTTTGCCCCCCACCCCCTGGAGACATGATAGATGTCCTTGGGTCCTCCAGCCACGCTGTCCCTACCTTGACGTCTGTACCATCCGTGGGCATAAACTCCTCATAGATGTAAGATCCTGTTTTCCGTACGCAGCTCTCCGGGGAATACACGCTGCTCCGGCTCCCAATCTGAAAAAGGGAGAGACCTCCGCAAGGGAGTACAAGACGTGCGGAAGCAGAGACTGAACTGCCGGCACAACCCAGCCAGCCTGGTCTATGCCGACTTTGTCCAGTCCAGGCCGGGCCTCTGGTGTCTTCCCAACCCAGGGGTAATGGCTAGCACCCCAGAGCCAGAGAGCTGCATGCCGCAGTGCCCCTCTGAACAGGCATAGCCGATAAGTGCATTTTAACAACAATGATGCAAGAGATGTATGACCCACTTAGAGAACAGCATCCAGAACTAACAATGGATAGCAATATTAAGGACAGAAGTACACCAAACAGAGGAAAAAATAAAGAAGGAACTATAGCATTAGAAAACATGTCAGATGGCTGTGCAAAGGATGCAGGGAGCAAATGAAGTCAACTCTTGCCGCATTTCCCAACCAGGTTATTTAGGACTACAGAAACAGAGAATACTTTGCCACCTGGGAACTCACAAGTTCACAAGGCGTGAACTGTCACTGCCTTGGTCCTAATAAAAGGTATGACATGGCTTGCACTCTTGGTTTTTTGGATTTAACTTCCAGATGAATACGGCTGTGAAACAGCTTGTCTACTTGTATGTTACCTGAATTTGGCTCATCAAGAGAGGCATGGGACATCTGAAGACTAATGAATTAGCGAGAGAGTGTGAAGGTAAAAATGCAACCCAAGATAATGACTACCTACTTTGGCTTCAGTTGACTAGATATACCTTCCAGCACCATCAATCTGTCTCCTGAGAGCACAATGACTTGCAAGCAGTATCTACCCTCAATTCTAAAAAAAGGGGGGGGGGAGATTAGGAACACTGAGCTATGGAATCAGTTTTATTGCCTCTTGCTTCTTGGAGCAACCTGGCTCTTTTTTGCCTGCCAGAACTTCCGCCATATCCTGGCATGAGAGGGTCTGAAGACCTGAAAACTCTTACTTTGTAACACCTGGACTGATGAAGTTCTCAAAAGCTTGTACGCATGTCACTGAGATGGCCCCTAACAAAACACATCACCTGAACTAGCAGGAAAGGAAGTTTAGAAGAGCAGCACAGCAGCCAAGAACCCCACCCTGCAGGACTCCCGGAAGCCAGCAAAAAGGGACGATCCAGAGGTGGATCAGAGCTGATCAGAGTGGGAATGAGACACACCCACAAACACACCCCGTAAGGTATGGGAGGAGGCCAAACCACAGAGCTGCAGAGATTTGAGACAGCACCTTGAATTACGCCTGGAAAATAACAAGGAACTGACACAGCTGCTGCAGCCCTGCGATGCAATCCTCCACAAAGGCCTCAGGCTCCTAAAAATCACAGTGAATTCAGTGCAGCTATCCTGGGGCCAGCTTAGCCAGGCACCAAAAGAACCCAGAGGCCAGGCCGGTTCCTCATTTCTTCCTCCTCACTCTGCTTACCTTGCGGAAAAGGCGCTGGCTGCCCCCTCCAGCTGAGGTGGGATAGTAAATGTAGACGTTGTGGTCCTCAGCGCTGACAGGCTTCTCCACAAAGGGCTTGGGGAAGACGGCCCCGTTCACTACCACGTCGTCCTCCCCCTCCACGAGGTTGCACTCTGCCGCCAAAGGGTAACGTCATCATTTGCAAGCCCTCAAACCGCTTTCCCTCCCCACAGAGCTCTCCACTGCCCACTGCCTCTGGAGGCAGAAGAAAAAAGCCGCCGCCACTCCCACCACCATCGCAGCCACGCTCCAGCATCTCGAAAGGAACCTCACTAAGATGGCCAAATCAGGTCCCCAGTGCCAGGGCAAATCATCCAGGTGTGCTCTAGCTGGGGACAGAAGCCACGACAGCAAGCCAGAGACGATGCTCAGAAGAGCCACGTCAGTCCGCTCAAGGACACACAGTTCCCCAAGGAAGGCACACACCAGGGCAAAGCATTTGCCTTCAAGACGCAGCAGCTGTGCTCCCAACCTGAGGCTACATGTCTACGGGGAGGAGTCCTGGGGGGCAGAGAGAGAGCCTTGCTGCCTGAGAGGTCTCTGCACCCTATTCCTGCCCACGACCAGCAGCCCCACCACTCACCATCTGGCTTATCAGGGTCCCGGTTGAGAACAGCATAGCGAGGCAGGTCTATTCCCTCCTCCTGCAGGATCCGGTACACCTCCCGCCTGGATAGGGTTGGACGCAAAGAAGAGGTCACTGGAGGGCATTCTGCATCTCAGTCCTGCGTCCCGTTTCCCGTGGCCCACAGAACACCCGGCACATCCCGACTGGGTCCCTGGCTGCCACCAGCCCTCCACCTCCCAGCTACAGAGCGGCAAGACAGGCCAGACAGGGTGACCGCACAGATGCGGAAGCACTCTCTTTCCTCGCTCTCTGTAGCTACAAGATGACACGGCCTGACAGCGAAGAACTTGGGAAGACGTATACAGATTTGGTACCGAGAATTCAGCTCCAAGGAAATTACATAAAGGGCTGTACGTCCGCCCATTTGCCTAACCTGTTTGGGTGACACTGAAGCCCCATCCTGCCCGGGGTCAGGCGGGCACCTGGGGAAAGAGGCAACCAGCATAGCCCAAAAAACACAGCCCAGGGTCAAGCACAGACATTCAAAAAGTCCAACCAGAAGGACCCAAAGAGCACACGCCTAGCCACAGTCCAGGAGGTCGAACACAGAGAGGTCTAAAGCACAGCAAAGCAGCACATACAAGGGTCGCGGACAACTTGCCTCCACAACGGCTCTCCTGTTTCAGACTGTGTCACTCAGGGCCAGGCGCAACTCCTCAACTATGGAGTCAGCCAGGGACAGACACAAGTCCTCCATGGCTGAGCAGCCTACAGGGCTGTGTCGCCCCTGATCCTGCAGTGACTCCAGCTCACAGGCAGAAGTTGACTGGTGCTGAGCTGCTGACCCTGCGCCTCCCTCCAGGCCTGCCTCCTCCGGCGTTTCAAGGGCTCTGGCAACCCTTGGGGGTGAACTGGTGGCTGCAGGACCTCTGCTTCAGCTTCAGATCCCGGGCTGCAGGGTTAAGGTCATGGCACACTGACTTCGGCCTGAGACTCCCCCTCTGCACCTGACGGAAGCTCCGCCTTGTCACAGGCGGGTCTTGCTGCAGTCCTCAAGGGCTGAGACCAGCTTCCTCCATTTCTTCCTCATCCAAGGAAGTGTTGGCAGACAGACCCACGACATGTCCCCAGAGGGCCAATGGTTGTCCCACAGTCCTCTCTGGCTTCCAAATCACCTTCCAGCCCTGGACACACACTCACAGCTCTGAGAACTAGAACAAAGAAGCTCTATTTCTCATGTTGCTGAACTCTGCACCAGAGATCAAACTCTGCACAGCTCTAGGAGTGGGTGGGGGAGAACCACAGCTACCAGAAGGGCTCACGTGCAGCTGATACAGACGACTAGAAGGCAAAGCGGCAAGTCTTCTTCCCGGTACTGCCTGCCACAAACTTTTCAGAAAGACCCCCACGCTTCCATCCCTCCACAGAGTGCACAGAACAGAAACATGCAGGAAAGCATTCTTATGAAGGGACTAAAGCAGCAGTATCACGGAACAGCTCTGGAGGCTGCGTTTTGCAGGGAACAGGACTGTTGCCATGTCTGTGGCATACATCACCCTGCTTTTAGTGCATGGTCTCCTGCCTTCGACAGCCGGGGAGGGGGGGAGGGCTGGTGGATTTTGTTGCTCTGCACTCATGGTTTCCGGTGCCTAGTCCTACCACATTGTCTACAGAATTCCCTGGCGCTCTTTGAGAAACCCGGAGCTTAGATGCAGCGAACCCTGGAAACCTGTACCTGTCCTGGATGTAGTACTGCATGTCCAGGTCGTTAATGAGGAAGGGGTTGCGGAGCCTGGCGTAGGCCACGGCCTTGTCGAGCGGGAAGCCTGCAAGAGAGAGAGGGCGGGGTGGGGGGGAGAGGCGCAGGTGAGGCAGGTGAGGCAGGTGAGGCGGG